GTAGCCCAGAACGGACAAATCAAACACTGGCTCTAGATAGGCCAGTTTCGTGGCTACAGCTGTTTTTGTCTCGTGGCCACAACTGTACTCAAATGGTTACAATCTGCAACTTCACTACTGGATGCCACTAAACCCTACAAACTACTCCTTCAACTTATGCCTTTAATATCTCTGGCCACTTGGAGCAACGGACACAAGCTGTGGACAAAACACCAACATATCACCTTTTAAGTTGTCTGTCTGCTGTTTGGTGAAGGGCATGCAGTGTAGAGAAGTTTTTAGAGCTTTTTCGCTGAACACAGCTGCCTACTGGGGCTGAAAATAAAGTAGCAAGAGCAAACCAAAACAGTAGAGTGGAAGGCCGGTAAATCAAAACAATTAGCATATAGAATTATAATGCTCTGTAGAGCTGAGGGGAAATAAAGAGTTATAATTATCTGTAGGTTTGTCACAGCATTCCTGTGACTCATTGTATATATAAAAATATTGACTAGCCATCCTTGCACATTTACCTTCATACATACACATCGTAACACAACATACTAACTGCACTCATGTAAAAGCACATGTTGTGATATGAAAAGAATAGTTGTGCAAATTTCCACTTTGCACAACTACTCTTCAAATTTCTATTCCCTGTTCTACTAGCCTCCCCCCTCTCATCTCGTCTTTAAACATGACTCATTCTATGAAGTCTTATACAGCTACACGATTCAGAACAAATTGTCACATATTTTACTGTCTACAAGTGAAAGAAAGCAAGTCTTTTTGTGTATTGTCAGATCACAGAGACGATGTTGGCTTTTCTCCAGTCAGCTGTACAACAGTATCGAAATAGTGTTACCTCATAACCAGACGCTAAAGTGACAGTCACAGCCCATCTTCCCTCATTAGCTCTGCACACAGGGATAAACTTGTGTCAACCCAGAGAAGCTTCCTTTTTCACATCTAATTTCTTACATTCACTCGAAGTTAGCTCTTTCACAAGTGTTCAAAGCTCCTATACTCACATGTATACTGTCAGGACTCCTAACAACTGAGGCTAACAATATTTTACTGTTGCTCTCATTGGACAAGTGTGTTAGCTAACTGCCTGCAAAGTGTAATAAATGATGTGGAGATAAACAGCATCACAGCCAGAGGTCCCCAACAGCACATCATTAAACAGGATACCTAATTCCCTTGGTTGCTCGGCAAGCCTGTGCCGGCTAGCCTGAGGCCGGGGCACTCGACAGAGCGAGGGGGAAGACCCTACTACTTCTCTGTAATTGGTCTGAATAGAGAAAGTAAAACATGGCCATGGATTCATTCTGCCCGTAAATAAATGCAATACATGACTAGATGTGCCTGCTGGTTTGTTGGGTTGTTAGTAAGATAGATAGTCTTTCATGTGCCTAACTTTCCTCCCTCCTACATGACATCATTGCCTTTCTCTTTACAATGACACCTTACCTCACTTTTGTCACTTTTGTCCTATTTTGATCCTCCCTTTAGACTATTTTTATTTACCTCTCTCTCTCTCTCCTCCAACAACTTACCTCCCTAACACATTCATCTTCTTTCCCTTCCCAGCGTTAGATATCTCACCTCCCTTTTTCTGTCACATGTCCAACTGCTTTCCCTCCATACCTTTCCCCACCTCTGCATTTTCTTTTTCCCCCCTCTCCCTTCATTCCCGTGCACATGCGTTTGGTGCTTCACTTCACTGCTTGCCAGGTTCTGCTTTCTCATTCCGAGCTAATAAACCTTCACCGGTATTCGGCTCGCCGTGTTGGGTTGACTGAGGCACAATGAGGTCACAGCGTTAAAGACGGATGGCTGTAATCTGGTTTGTGGCCTAGCCATCTGCTGTAGTCAGCTGGTTGCTAACTGCAGGGCCAGCCATTATTATACTACGGCCTCTACATGGCATTTAATCAGAGAGCTTAACACCATTGGGCTGTAGAGGGAAAGAGGGGGTACCTACACATAAGCCATACCTGGAGGCAAGACTGCTAGGGCGAGGAAGAAGAGAGAGAGAAATTCTCCATTAGGAAGAAAGAGCAGGATTAAACTGGTGGAAATGCAGAAGCAAGGGGGGTTAAGATGTGAAATGAAAGCAGTGAAAAAATGTGTTCCTCCAGCAAAACCAGATAGTGTATGTTCGTTTCTTCCTCAAATCTTGTCAACAACTTGTCACCCGGAAGGATCACAGTTCGCAGAGGCGTCACTCATGACTTAAAGATGACCTATTTGAAAGACTAAAATATCTGTTTTGCAGGCCTCTGTCAATACGCAATTTACAGCTGCCAACTACTGTATGTCTTCCAGACTTGTTAATAAATGCCTTGTGATTAGAAGATCAAATGTGAGAAGTGAATTAGTGATTCCTCTGATCACAGCCTGTAGCAGAGGATGAGGAGAGCCTCACACGGCTTACTAGATCTCACTGGAGAGAAGCAAGCCAAGAGGAGAGAGAAAACAGAGCAACATCTAAAGACCCTGTGTGATGGACACCGATTGTCCGTCATCTAATCCTGACTTTATCAAACATAAAATGCCATCTGAGTAATAGCATCACACAGTTTCCTCAAATTTGCAGGACGTCTTGTTTGGAGGCAGTCTGAAAATGCCATCTCCAATAACATATAATTTGCTGTGATGGCTTTGCTTTTCCAATGACATTTGAAGACCAATAAAGGGAGCCGTATTTGGTTGCGATCAGCATTATCATGGTTTCAGATCCCATTAGGTCTAAGCCAGGATAAACACGCTGTAATTTGGCAAGACGGGAGAAACATAAAATGCGGTTGCTATTCACTGGAACTTGTGTGAATGAGACAGTTCTCCCCGACTAACGCCCTATCCCTTAATGCAGACTCATTTGATTTCAGCCCTATTTGGCTATCTCTCTCTGACTTCCTAGGTGATGGGGAGGCACTGCTGTGAAGTCAAAAGGCTCCCCATTAAAATTCCACTGGAGGGATGAGGCTTTGGAGGTTGTTTTTTTTCAAAGTTAAGCCGGTAATATTTTGGAGATAAGGCAGCAGACATATTTACTCCTGACAGGGTGTGCCTCCGAGACCTGATCCAAATCTGAGAATGGATTGGCTGCTAAATGAATTCCTTTATCTGTCTGAGAGACTAAGTTTGAGCAATAACCTCAGAACAAAGAGGGAGAATTAGCCGACGTCCCAGTGGCCAGGCGACATAGAGACTTTGAATATATAAATAGATGGATCTATCAACGACTTGTCCTTGAAAACAGACAGAAGTCTTCATTGCTCATCCTGCATAAGACATTTGTCATGTTCATGATGAGACGTTAATTTAACATGAAGAAGAATCTAGTCTGTTCATGGACCCAATAATCTCCATAGCTTTACATATGGTCATCTGTTGTCACCATATAGACATACACCTATCTTGAGCCCATGCAGGGGTCATGGGAAATGTTCTTGGGGCCAATTCCGGTGAGCCAACTGGTGGGGATTGGGCTGCATTTTGTGGCCTAACCTTTGACTGCCGGGTTAATGGTAGAATGAAGACATTCAACCTCCTGTCTGAGAAACAACCAAATATAAGGAAGAGGAAACTCGGATCCCCAGAAGCAACTGGAACATAGATATGTTTATCACACTAACACCTTTTACTGCTTTGTGCAGTTGTGTGTGGCCCTGTGTGTGTGTGTATGTGTGTGCAAGCCTCACAGCCTCGGCATTGTGTGTACACACTATGTATAAGCTGTGGTGAAGTGCATGACAAAAATATTACAGAGTTAACTGGAACAATATCAGACAAAACATGGAAAACAAAATTAACTTACCTTATCTGAGTACACGAAGAACAGGATGAGTAATATCAGCTCTGCCAGGAGAATTATCAGCAGGACAATGAAGAACTGTCAGAGAGAAGGTGGCACAGACTTAGTTTACCAATTGCTTTGGCAGTACTGTAAATCTACCTTGTCATACTGGTGAAAACATGTTGAATCGGAGACTGGGCTTCTGCTGCAGTCATTTATAAAACCTTTACATGACTGTAGATTGCATACATGACAGTTTTTATACATTTTATAATGAGCTCAGCATCTGTTATTTGTAGTGCTTTTGATTCATACTCTACCCTCAAATTAAATGTGTGTGATTCCTCATAACCCTATGTATGGAAACACGTTTGATCAATTTAGGTTAAAGTAATAGTCCGACATTTTCATAAAATATGCTCATTTGCTCTGTTGTTGAGAGTTAGGTTAGAAGAAGACTGTCATATCTGTGTAGTAAGTATTAAACTACAGCCAGCAGCCTGTTAGCTAAACTTAGCAATAAGGCTTGAACCAGAGGGAATCAGCTCGCCTGGTTCTGTCTGAATTTAACAACTTTCACCTACAACATCTCTAACACTGACTAATTGACATATTATATCTTGTTTGTTTAACCTGTCCAAAATCCAGACGTTAAAAGGATACAAGTTACCTGGCAACCTCACTGACTGTGACAACAAGACCTCAGAAAGTGACTTTGCAACGCCAAGAAACAGCCCAGCACTTAAACAAACAAGTGTTAATTAGTGAGCTTAATAGATGCTGGTTACCTTTGGACAGAGCCAAGCTAGCGGTTTCCCCTTGTTTCAAGTGTTGGTGCTAAGCTAAGCTAACTGGACTAGGCTTGCATAACTTCAAATTGACCATAGAGACACAAGAGTAGTATCGATCTTTTATTCAAATCTCAGCAAGGAAGCAAATACGCATATTTTGCTAAATGTTGAACTGTTTCTTTCAGGTCTTAGTTTTTGAGCTGGATACAGCAATAACATAAAACAGCACACACTCAAAAATACTTAAACAGGAAAGACAAGAAAAAGAAAGTTGAAGGAGGAGGTGGGAGTGACAGAGGGAAGAAAAAAGGAGAATCCAAGTGCCGTAGGGCATGTGAATGTGTTAAGGGAGGGGGAGAAAGTTTAATACCTCCTTAGATTCATTTCCAACACAGGCTTGCATCTCATCTACTATTCTCTCCCTACTTGATTTCAATATTTACCCAGCTCTTCGGCAGAGCATGGGAGGAGGCACGCGAACCTAGATTTTAGAAAACCCCATTAATTCCAAACTCGTTAAGGAGGAAGAGTGTAGGTTATTATTTGTGTCAAGGCCCAAATGAAATAGTTAGGATGTTGGTTGAGTGTCTGGGTTTCCAGTTAAGTGTATGACTGTTGTGCCTTCACAGCCGGTTGGCGACCTTTTCCTATTTCTGAAAAGGAACAGCTTTGGTACAGTAAAGTGGAGGTGCACTGATGGATCTCTGTAAAAATATGTGTATGTATTCACATCCATACACATCGTTGTGGGCGTATGTTCTCGTTTGCTCGCAAATTCACACTTTCAAGGTTTTAAAGTGTTAATGTCTCAGACGGATATTTCAGTGTTTTCTCTTCCACTTTGTTTTTTAAATTTGTCTCAGTAAACAATTTTTGGCAGCTAAGAAGAGAGACTGAAGATTTACTGCAAAGGATGTCTAGTCTTTGAATATTTCTAATCCAGAGAGAGTTGTCCACAGAGTAACTTCAGAGATAATATGTCAAGGTAGACGCTCTGATCTGTTTGCTCTGGGAGATCTAAACCCACTCTGATGTTTCCACGTCTTGCATCCCCCACTACCACCCCCCACCCCCGGGTGTACTGAAACGGACGGACAGAAAAACAACAACAACAACAACAACTACGAGCAGCAGACACTGCCACGCTGCACAGAATTATCGTGGCCAAATATGAAACGCTGCCACAGACAGATGTGGCAACAGACTTAATGAGAAACATCAGAACTTCTATATTTTTCATTAAGTCTCTCTTTTTTCTCATTCCAGCCGTCTTCCTCACCCCCTCCACCTCCCCTTCCCTGCAGTCCGCTCCCTCTGCTTCACAGTTGTTAGGCAGGTGAAGGAAGCCATGTCGAACACTGAGGATTTGGTGTGGCTTTTGACTGATGCAAGAGCTTCAAGGGATTGAGCTGTTTGTGATGTTAAGTACTCAGAGCCCCAACTCTACTTCTCATTTAAAGTTTCTATATATGAAAGTTTTTTTTTTTTTGCAGCTTAGATCAACGCATGCCCCATTTCATTGGGTGAACTTTTATAATTAACTTGTACTTAAGATAAAACACTTGTTCAACTTGGGGCAAACAGTACAACGTCAAGACAGAGGAGTCTTTGTAATGAATAATAGAACATTTGCAATAATTGAGCACAAAAATATCCTTTAGTGTGCTATGTACAGTATTTCAACGACGCTGTTAACACAAAGGGCCTCTTGACTGACAGCTCTTTCACTGGGCTGTGACCAAAGCCATGGAAATGACATGAGTGCGTTGGTGTTAATTTGCAGAAAAGGAGAATCCCACTGCTCAGCTCTAATTTTCCTTTGTGAGCCCCTGAGGTTTGATACAATGCAGACTGAACTCCTCCTGTCATTTGTCTACCTCCGCTGAAGTTCCGGCTGGAAGACTACAAATATGCTGCTGAGTTCCCACTGGCCTGTAACCAATGTGCGTAGGTGTATAAACACATATGTGAGGGGCTGTCTCCACAACACAATTCTGTCAATATTTGCATTAGTAAAATGGGGTAATGTGAGAGAAAAAAATGAGATGAGAGACAGAGTTGAGAGAGGAGTTGCAGTGTCTTGGACAGTCGTCTATGTGTGTCTTATTTATAGTGGGACGCTGTGTAGGTATTTAGATTTAACTCACGCTCAGAAGCAGGCACTTGTTCTCCTTGATGGCACCCAGGCAACCGAGAAAGCCCGTTACCATGACGATGGCGCCGATGGCGATGACCATGTTGGCAGCTGACAGTGAGGGGAATGAGGGTGAGAAGGTGGCGAAGCTGCCCTGAGACACAGAGAGCCAGATGCCCACGCCGAGCAGCCCACAGCCACATAACTGCAAGGCAAAAAGATGAGACAGACGACAAGGTGAGAAAACAAACAGCAGATAAGTCACTACCTTTGGAAAAGACTGGCTCTCATCTGGCAGATATTGCTTGTAATGCCAGACCTTCTGAACAAGTAATCTACATAGCAAGGTTTGCACTAAATGAACACAAATCCCAGCTAAAGAAGCCCCATGCAACAGGTTCCCTCAGGATGCTTGGGGAATTGCCCAAGCAGTCATCCATCACCAAACACTGCTCAAAAAACAAGAGTTTACCCCAATTACAACTATAATAAGCCAATAACAGTTCTGCAAGAGATTAGAGCAAAAATGCACGTTTGCACGTTTGAGCTGATTATGTTAAACCCTGCACAAACAGAGACGTAATTACTGCCACCCCCTAAAATGAAAACTTCCAAGCTTTCCAAAACTACCTGCAGTAGACTTGAACTTCACCTAGAGGGAGCAATTCCCTAATTCCTCTCTGCCACCCTGCTAGGCCCCCGCTGACGCCTGTGAGGTCTGCAATGTGAGTTTATTAATGCATGAGTGTTTGTAGAAGGCGCTGATTGGCAAAGTGGAGTGTCCCACTTGCTGATGTGTTGGTCCATCTATCAGAGATAAGAGCCATACAACATGCCAAACACACACTGAAATATAGGCTAGAAGGTAAGTGGTGACATTTTTGCCTGCACGTAATAGAATGAAATACCCAAGGCAATCTTGCCATGAATAAAAAACATTCCAAATGAGGTAAAATATGGAAAGGCACCATGGTAAATCATCGCACCGCCGCCCTTTCTACCCTTCTGTTCACACGGCTCCCCTCCTCCCTTCCCATCTTCGCACCACTGCTCCGAAACACTTTAATGCCTGTCAGCAATATGTACAACAAACCTGCTGCGCATGCAAACAAACACGAGGCCCAGAATCATATACAGTGTACACACACAGTCATTATTAGGTGGGAATTATGGATAAATCAACTGTTTCCTCTTTCTCTTTCAGAGTAAAATAATGAATGCACCACACACAGCGCTAATTTCCTTCTGCCACAGTCTGACAAATAGCACAACTCATAATAAACCTGCCAATGTGCCGCAGCACTTTCACAACAAACCAAACCACAACTGTGCGACTTTAATTTGACTAATGGCACAAGTCTGTTGATCAGCAATGCTGCACCGCAGGCTAACAAAGTGACTTAAAGCACATAACAAGACCACCAAACTCAAAAGTTCCTCTCAGAGATGTCAGGTGATGACGTGTAAGACAAACCTTTGGGGTTTCAAATGCAACCCTGATGAGGTGGTGAGAGACACTTCGGGTCTAATGAGTCCTATAGGATCAGTAGATACATAAACTGAGTTCAAGCAACCCACTCTCAAGTGTCAGATGAGCGTAGTTTCACTCTCATTAACCTGTGACCTTTGAGCAGGGGGGTTTTGTGCAGGCTCACCTCCATGGATGAGAGTGCTTCAGTGCAGATGAATGATATACGTGCTCTCCTGAGGACTAAGAAATGACTAGATCGATTAAAAGTGAGGACACAGAGAGAAAGAATCCGGACTATATGAAAAGGACTTAGGATAGATAAAAACCATGTCTGAGAGTGCTAAAATTCCAGCACTGATTGACGGCACTGCCCAGATTCTGTGAAAGACTGGATTCGCCGCTCTAACAAACAAAGTTCAAGTTCTGCTGTCAAGGTTGAAGGCGGGGGGAAAGCCGCGAACAGAGCCCGCCCGACACTTTGGTCACATATGGATGAAAGTCGCAAAGTTGCGTTGGATTTCTCGCCCGGAATAAACGGGTGGTCTGAGTAAGACCGCTCCTGAGAGAGGGAGAAGTGCAGTGGTGCTCGGAAGACTTTTAATCATATATCATGTAAATAATTCAGAGGCAAATGTATTCGCTGGGAGGCACCCGTTGGCCCTTTGTGCTTTGTTGATTAAAACAGGAGAATGAAACGTCAATTGAAAATGCTGGTAAAGGTCATGTCCCTATGCAGAGTGGCTAATATACGGAATCACAGCTGACACTCTGCAGAAGGCCAGATTATATAGAGCGTGAGGAAGGGTTCGAGGGAGCGGGAGAGGAATAGTACGTTTAAAAGGCCAGATAGATAAAGTGGATTTACAGCTAGTGAGGGGCGCACCGGGAGGTCTAAGAGTCCAGGTGGGGAGGGATACAGTGCCTTGCCTTAATTGTGTTTAATGCCCAGTGAAGGGAGCTTGTCCAAGTGTGTCACTCTCGTAAGTGACTGTGAAACCACCCAGCCCCCCACTCAATCTGTCTGATCTGAGCCTACAGTACCAGGAGCACAGTCTAATCTCTGCCCTGCTTCTACTACCACTACTACTACTACAACAACAACACGCTGTCGTCAGACCTCTGTGTCGGTGCCACAGGAAATACCTCCAGCATAAGCTCTGATCTCTTTGGTTATCTGACCTTGGTGTGGCAACGGAGCTTGACCTCGAGCCCCTCTGCTGAGCTGCTTATCTACTTTTAATTGTCGGACGGGCATGTTGTGATATCCCATCTGCGGGGGAAAGATTAAGGAATCCCCAAATACTTAAGAAGCGTGTAAACAGTCATGGAGAAGGCTTACTATAGGCAGTCGTTGTTATTACACCAGTCAGAATGGTCGATGCTCCAGGGTTATGATTAACATTTGGGTTGGGCGAATAAATTGGCCTACAAGTTCTATGAACACAGAAAATAACGCAATCATGTTTCAATTCACTCGGTGGTCTTGAATGATGTGGCGCAAGTCAATACGCCAAGTGATGCAACAACTTGTCTGACTGAAGACTGGCTAGCATGCTTTATAAGATCTGCTAGTCACTCAAAAGTCCAACAGTACTACTAACCGTACCACTATTTACATGATATTATTTGTTGTTGGGGTATGGGGTATGGGGTTGGGCTATGCAACTTGACCTAGTATGATTCTACACCAATTATCTGCGCAGATAGAGACAACCAGCATGCTCTGGGCTATTACTCTGCTTTCACAATCCATGTATGCAACTTTTCAAGGCACAAGTACATCATTAAACGATTGAGGCTGATACGTGACAGCTTGCCAGGTCCACCACTGTTACAATTTTAACAAGCTTCGGTGAGGTACTGAATCTTTTAGCACTCCAGATTTTCAAATATGTATTTCGGGTTTAGTTATTGGAAAACACTGTCAAAACAACTTGGCTGTTTTGTTTTGTTGATCTTCTGCTTTGTCTCGATGACGTTCGCACACATACATGTAGTGCAGAGATGCCTCCATCCTATTTAATCACTGTGAAGGTCACTTTCATATTTTACTCTGATAGGAACATTTCTTCCAGCCGTGATAATGAAAAAAATCTTTGCAGTCTGGAACGCAAAACTCGCTGCTCTTACCACTGAATTGAGTTCAGAGAGTTAACAACACTTCTGACAAGAGGGATGAGGGATGCTCGGCGCGTGTAATTGTGGTTGATACGGAGTCATTTAAAAAAAAATAAAAATCAATGAAAAAGAGTGAGCGCAGCAGCCGACAGAGTATGTGACCTTTTCATATGTTTTAGGCAGTATTTTGAGGGCACCTCCTAGCAAGGCAGAATGGAGTCCGGTTTGTAAATGTCACTTGTGCAAAAAGTGGCACAGGGAGCCCAGCAGAGAGGAGTGGAGAAGAGCAACATTAACTTTCTTGTGGAGGAAATTGGAAGACATGAGATGTGACTCTATCTAGCTGGATAAATGGGGCCCTACTTTTTTCAGGTCCCTGTAACAAGCTCAGGGTGAAAATGATTGCAATAATACTGTGTGAAGCAGCTGTGAGGATACTTTCCAAACAGGAAGGAGAGGTGAAAGAGGTCAACCGTAAGGTGTTGTGAAAGAGCGATAGAAAGCATTAAAGCCAGGAAGATTGGACGCACACATGAGATGTGTATGAGAGAAAGAGAGACTGAGCTTAGAGGGAGAGAAGAAGATAATAGGGGGTGACCCTTCCTCTGAGTGGCTGGCTCAGGGAATTATCAGTCGCTGCAGTAACTGGCTCAGTGACATGAAGCCACCCGGCACAAGGCCCCACATTTCAATCTCCCCTTGAGGAAAGGGGTCTGAAAGAGGGGTGGGCCATGTGTGTGTGTGTGGGTGTGTATATGTGGAAGTTAGAGGAGATTGACCTGTTCACAGTCAGAGAGGTCACGTCCTGTCGTAAAGAATGACAGCTTTTGTCAAATTACTGCTGCCCTCTGTTGCTCCTCTCATCACAGAGGCTCAATTCTCTTGTGAATGAGTTTGTAAAGTTTGAGTGAGTGAGTGATGTGTGTGTGTGGCTGTGAGTGAACAGAGAGTGTGTATTGAAGCCTCTTACTTACAGCTCAGAGTAAATAATTGGTATTTTACACAGAAATAATAATCTTCTATAGACATCTGCTCTGCCATACTGAAACTAACCTTTTGTTTTGGTAATTAGAAAGCACTTCTACCATTACAGCACAATAAACCATAAAATTGGGGAAAATGCCAACCTGACTGCACTGCTTGAGGATGGAGCCACTTTATCACTTTACGATCCCCACTGCCCTTTTACCGTAACTCCATCTTTCTTTTTATTGGGGATTTTTTTTTTTTTTTTTGCTGCACACAACATCTTCTGCTTTGGCCGTCATTGATTTTGCACTGAAATGAAGACAGGAGGATATTCACTTCAGATAAAAGAAGATTTTTCTTTTCTCGCCATGTGATCCCTAAACCCTGTGATTCATGTTACCATATAGGCACTAAATGGACTGCCAACTGCGTGAGAGAAACAGAATCACAGAGCTACACACTTAATAAAGCAACTATAGACATCAAACAGGAGTGAACGAACAAGCCTAAAAGCAAAGACAGGCTATTTGTATTTTCTACCCAGCAAGTGAAAAAGGTCTTCATTGAGGCATGCTGTGAAAGAAAAATGAGTCATTTTAAGGGTAGACTCTCCAGAGAGAGTGTTTGTGTATGACTGTCATAAAAGG